AGGAAAGGAGAGAATAGCTGCAGTGCAGTGTGCTCCAGCCACATCCCTGTAGGTCAATGGAGGTAGGGCAATTTACCCCAGCTGAGAATCTAAGCCAGCTGGCTCCTGATCCCTTCCTGCCCCAAGCACACAGTATGTGAGCATCATACTGTGTCAAAGACAACCTCTTTCTTTCCCTTAATGATTTTACAAACAAAACAAAAAACAATAGAATATTTCAACTGACATATTATGCACTACTACTGATATGGTAGGAAATAAATATAAAAATGGCGGGAAAGTCCTAGCAAAAAAATAAATTTGGAAAATTTTCCCAAACAAGTTTTTCAGGAAATTTCAGCGATATTTGGTTTTGTTCTGATTTGGACCAAAACCCGTTTTCAGAGTGTCAAAATTTCCTGCAAACTACAAATTTCAAGTGTCAACCAGATCTAATGCCCAGCAATTTTGAGGAGCCCATCTTGAGGCTTAAAGGAGCCTGATTTCAGAGGGTGGGTGCTCAGCACTTTCTGAAAATTAGGTGTCTCAATTTGGGCACCCAAAAATCACTAGTCATTTTTGAAAATTGTGGCTAGAGTCCATAGAACACAGGGTTTTTTCTTTTTTTCTGAATGGAACACATTGATTCTGTGTTCTCTGAATGCTCTTGGATCCCTGTCTCCCTCCTGCTGCACAGATGTTTTAAAGATACATTTTTTATATTGGAGCAAAATCCAACCTGACTCCTTTTTTAATAGTTCTATCCACAAAAGAGTGCTACCAATCATAAGGAAAGTGAGCTACTATTCCTCATTTATTCAGTGTCACATTATTTAATATGATTTCACAGGATTTACGTCATGGACTCAGAGCTAAAACCATCTGAACATAAGACCAGATTTTATAAATAACATTGTATCATTGTTTATTTAAAAATAATCCTGATGCTGATTATTTTTTGAACCCACCAAGAACCTTTTGACATAATGGAAAGACAGGAAGAGACCCGAGGTTTGTATTTCCCCGAAAATGTGTACTGCTGTGAGAAAGGACACAGAGTGAGCTTCCCACTTTTGTAGAGGCAACTAACTTTCTGACGTAAGATAAACTTTAAAGCAGAGCTTTTGTAAAAATCTGGGTTTATTTTACTTACTGATATCACATGCCCATCAACAGGCAGAGCCAATGTGTAAATGAGCTTCTGTGTGTATTTGTTAGTGGGATGTTCAACAGATTAATCTTACAATAAATATGACTAATGCGTTGCCAGACAAGGCAGCCAGATACAGAAAATGCAACTGGACAAAATTGTTGCCTTTCTTCTGACACTACCGTCTCACGCTGGCACCAGAGTGGCCCCTCTGCTGAGTGACAGTGGAATTGTGGGGCCTTCAAGTCAGCTTCCCAGTGGAAGAGAAATCAATAATGCATAATCAGGTTATAGTCTGAGTCTATTTTGCTACGTAGTGTGGAATAGAAGCAGTCACAAACCCCTCTTCCAGAAGTTACAGCTCACCCACCAATGCTTGCTTCAAGCTGCTGTGGCCCAAGAATTGCCACCAAATATAGAGAATACAGCAGAGGACAAACCTTTGCTATTGGTCACGGTGTCTCCCAAAGGACAACGGCATAACAAAACATAACAACAATACAGCATTTCGTCCAAAGACTGAACATTTACTCACATGCTAAGAAATGGAACATGTAAGTCTATGTGTATGTCAAAGGGTATGCCTCCTCTGTAGTGACCCCCTATTGGCCAAATGTGGCTCTGCAGCCCATTGCCTCAGTTTCCCTTTCAAAGTCCCAGGAATAATCCACAGAGATTTATATACAATAACAAACATCTTTCTTGGGGACTGGTTTGTTAACATATAAAGCAAAGTAAACCCAAAGCAAAGTCTCTTCCAGCTATTCCTTTCACAGTATCCCACGGCCCCTTCTCCTCCCTGAGGTCTGGCTGGCTCCAAGCCTCTCCTCCAGGCACACTTTTGAGCCATTTCAGGGCTCTATCCCTCAACCCACCCTAGATACATCCGTTCCTAGCCTGTAGTCTCTCCTCTTTGCAGTCAGGGTGTTGCACAGGACTATTTGTGCCAGTGTTTCTGGACTCTCAGCCATTCCTCCAGCAGCTTCCTTCAGAAGCCCTCTTCAGCAACTCCCCCAGCTGCTGTCTTTCCCTTCATGAGGCCAAGGTGCCTTCCTTTAAGCCCAGTTGGGTGGCAGGTAATTAGTCACAGATGCACTGCCCTCCACCCCCATTAAAGGGGCCAGTCACCCTGTGACAGTGGAATAGACTCATCTAATTCTTGCCATAACCATATAGGGGGCCTAATCCTGCATACTTTCCTCAAGACAAACGCCCATTGCCACCTGGGTAAGGTGCTCAGGGGACCTGATCCAAAGTCTGCTGGAGCCAATGGAAAGACTCCTGTTGACTTCAGTGGCTTGAGTTAGGCCCAGAATGAAGTTCACTGCCTAACTGGTGACATGAGGCTAAATTAGCAGTGACGTAGATGTTGGCATAGGTTACACACCTGGAGCCTGGTTCTCTGTCGCCTTCGACATTGTGTCCTTGTCCATACACCTATGCCATGCCACCCAATCAGACGTCCCTACTCACTTACACTAGGGGTAGTGTCTTCCACCCACTCTGCAAGCTGCAAATGACTCTGCAAGGTGCAAAGGCAGCAGAGATCTTGTCCCCCAGACTAGGTTAGTCCCAGAGTGGCAAAGCACTGTAGCTTGCACTGACTAAGCAGTAGTTCTGCAGAAAAGGACCTGGGGATTACAGTGGATGAGAAGATGGATATGGGTCAGCAGTTTGGCCTTAGTGCCAAGAAGGCTAACGGCATATTGGGCTTCATTAGTAGGAGCATTGCCAGCAGATCGAGGGAAGTGATTATTCCCCTCTATTTGGCACTGGTAAGGCCACATCTGGAGTACTGTGTCCAGTTTTGGACCCCCCCACTACAGAAAGGGTGTGGACAAATTGGAAACAGTCCAGCGGAGAGCAACGAAAATTATCAGGGGTCTGGGGCACATGACTTACGAGGAGAGGCTGAGGGAACTGGGCTTGTTTAGTCTGCAGAAGAGAAGTGTGAGGGGGGGATTTGATAGCAGCCTTCAACTACCTGAAGTGGGGGGGGAGGTTCCAAAGAGGATGATTGGATATTAGGAAACACTATTTCATTAGGAGGGTGGTGAAGCACTGGAATGGGTTACCTAGGGAGGTGGTGGAATCTCTATCCTTAGAGGTTTTTAAAGCCCAGCTTGACAAAGCCCTGGCTGGGATGATTTAGTTGGTGTTGGTCCTGCTTTGAGCAGGGGATTGGACTAGATGACCTCTGAGGTCTCTTCCAATCCTAATCTTCTATGATTCTATGAGCAGACATTTGGTGGGGCCCAAACTCAGCCCTGATGCAGACAGATGCAACTCACATTGATGTCAATGGGCTAAATTCCTCCAGGGTGCAGCTCCATTGATTTCAGTGGAGCTACATCAGGGATGAATTTGGCCCCAGGAGTGTAATGGCATACATTGTAGGCCCAGATTCTCACTTATGCTATGGGATTTTTACACCACTCTGATAGGGTAGCCATGGGTGTAAATTAAATATATGGAGTTCATATGAGCACCTAGTAGTTTGGCTGCCCACTGGAATCCGCTCCATCTGAATCTTGAGCCTGAAGGGTTGGGCTGGAAATAGCCTCTCTGCCTGCTTTTCCAGTTCATGCAGCAATGCTGTAAAATGAGGCATCTTGGGGCTATCATAAGGTGAGATTTTATTTTATTGGGACTCCTAGGTAGCATTGAAAACGTGTACCCAGAAATCACCTACTACAGGACAGGCCCAACAAGGACAATAACAGAACACCACTGGCCATCACATACAGCCCCCAGCTAAAACCTCTCCAGCGCATTATCCACGATCTACAACCTATCCTGGAAAATGATCCCTCACTCTCACAGACCTTGGGAGGCAGGCCAGTCCTCGCTTACAGACAACCCCCCAACCTGAAGCAAATACTCACCAGCAACTGCACACCACACCACAGAAACACCAACCCAGGAACCAATCCCTGTAGCAAACCTCGTTGCCTACTCTGTCCCCATATCTACTCTGGCGACACCATCAGAGGACCCAACCACATCAGCCACACCATCAAGAGCTCATTCACCTGCACATCTACTAATGTTATATATGCCATCATGTGCCAGCAATGCCCCTCTGCCATGTACATTGGCCAAACCGGACAGTCCCTATGTAAAAGAATAAATGGACACAAATTGGACATCAGGAATGGTAACATACAAAAGCCAGTAAGTGAACACTTCAATCTCCCTGGTCATTCTATTACAGATTTAAAAGTCACTATCATTGAACAAAAAAACTTCAGAAACAGACTTCAAAGAGAAACAGCAGAACTAAAATTCATTTGCAAATTTAACACCATTAATCTGGGCTTGAATAGGGACTGGGAGTGGCTGGCTCATTACAGAAGCAGCTTTTCCTCTCCTGGAATTGACACCTCCTCATCTATTATTGGGAGTGGACTACATCCACCCTGATTGAATTGGCCCTGTCAACACTGGTTCTCCACTTGCAAAGTAACTCCCTGCTCTCCGTGTGTCAGTATATAATGCCTGCATCTGTAACTTTCACTCTATGCATCTGAAGAAGTGAGGTTTTTACCCACGAAAGCTTATGCCCAAATAAATCTGTTAGTCTTTAAGGTGCCACCAGACTCCTTGTTGTTATTGAAAACCTTAGCACTGCTGGGGAGACAGATGGGGGTGCAGCGTGGGCTGAAAAAAGTGAACCAAACAGACTTTTTCTAACCTGAAAGATAAGGTTAGGGGTTGGGATAAAGGCCTGGGCCAGTTCTCATTTTAACCACACTGCCCGCCAGGTGTATTTTTGATGGCCTGTGAAACTGTAAAGGAGAGGCAGGGCAATAGCTGCTCGGAATTATTTTGCCACTGTTTGCCTGTGCTCTGAATGACTTTGTCATTGCAGGTGAACCAAGGGAACACCAAGGCTCTTGGCTCTGGCCTGGGTTATCTGGAACACATCTGTCAGCTGATAGAGAAAATCGGGCAGCTGCAGGAGCACAATCTGCGACTCCAAAAGCAAGTGTGCAGTTTGCAGAAGGAGCAGAAGATGAGCCAGATAAAGGAGGTAAGAACGGATAATCAGGTGCTGTCTGGGCTAGGGGAAAATGCTGCCAACCTCAGCCCTAGCATGAGGGTATAAAACCCCAAAGCAGGGGATATAACTCCCTAAGTTTCACCCAAAGCTGGTTTAATATGGGAGTGGGGGTGTTAATCGGGTCCAAGGTCTACAGGGTGAGCATGGGTGATGGAGGGGACCGGCAGCCAGAGGCTATGCACCAGGACTATACCCGGCCCAAATAACAGAGTTCAGCTCATCCTTGGGTGCTTTTATGCATCTTCTCTTGTTCTCATTGTTTTCTAGATTTGCCCCCTACTTCTCTTTTCATCCCAGTCTTTATATTGATTGGAGCTTGTTTCTTTCATTGAGTGGGGTGTCTGGGGCAATAGCTTTGGGATCTTCCTAGAACTCTTGGTTAGGGATACTGAATACTTGGGCTGTTGCCGTATAGACTGGTTTCATTATCTGGTATTTTGATGCCCATCCATGATCATATTATGATTAAAGGTGCCCGAACCAATAGCAGAAATGCCACAAATACCAGGGCTGCAGCCCCATTCTTCACAAAAGGTAGCAGAAATCTTTCCCGAGAGACCTTCCCTTCTCATGAGTCTTCCAACTCAATTTCGCAGGAACATTCTAGCTTTTGGGCACTTATCCAGACTGATCCTCCAGAATCCTGGGATTTATAGCCCCCGCATTCCAACTGCAGTTACTGGGGTTTTTCCTTATTTACTTCAGGATAATAATATTATTATTATTCTGTTTAAACTTATTTTGGGGGGACAAATATGGCTTTTTGACTAAGTGGAAATTTTGTTGGAAAACATTTCTGTTTTTGTCAAAAATATTTGGGTTGTCATCCAACACCCCCCCCAACATCCCCTCCCCCCACTACTCCCAGCTCGCTCCCTCAGACCAGTGCTGCCTCCTACACAGGGCCTGGGAATGGTTAGCACATTTTCTGAAAGCTTTACAGTTGTGAGTCATTGTTTGCAGCAACCCTTACCATCTGCATACCAGGGCCAAATCTTCAGTGTAGTCTCCCCATTGACATTAAAGGAGCTACCCCGATTTATACCAGCTGAGGATCTGGCCCTACATTTTCAACCTAGATGCATTTTGTATTTTCAAAGATCCCTTGGCAGAATCTCCCTGTCTGCAAATGTAATGCACCCACCACTGGGGTATCTAGTTCACAGTAGTAATATGCTCTTTGCATTTTCAAAGCACTTTACAAACATTAACTAATTACCTGCCCTTGGTATTTAAGGTACCTCCCCAACACCATAACATCTCACCATCCTCAATGTATTAATCCTCACAACCCTTCTGTGATGTAGGAAATACTGTTATCCCAAACTGCAAAAGGACCAGCTCCTCAAAGGTATTTAGACACCTAACCCCCAAACCCTTGGAGGATCTGGGCCAGGGAGACGAAGGGTAACATTTTCAAAAGCACCCAAGTGACTTAGGGATCTATGTCCTATTGAAGTCAGAACTCTGCTGATTTATTAGGTTCTGCTGGGAGTTGAGGATGTTCAGCAGCTCACAGCATTGGGTCCTAAGTGCACAAGAGATCTGACAGTAAAGCCCCGTTTTTATCATAAGGCTTCTAAGCTCTTCCTCCCCAGAGAGTCCTTTAATCCTTTGGAAAGCACCAAGAGATGAAAAAGCAACACATCAGTTAGAGGACACATGGACTCCTGGAGAAAGAGCTGTATCGCCCAGTGCAATATCAAAGAGCAACAGAATGCTACCTGCACCACCTTCTCCTAGGATCCTGGCAGATCTCATCAGCTGAGCAGCCACAAACAGTGCTTGGGGGAGATGTGTCCAAAGAATATCCACAGCCGATGCTGCAGGGGTGCTGTTTGAGCTGGGATTTCCAAAAGGGGCTAAGGGAGTTAGGCACCCAACTCCCACTGACTCGCAAGGGATTCCCTTAAGCCCCAGTGAAAAATCCCAGTCTAAGAAGGCAGCACTCTTCCCTCTGCTCTGCAAAGCAGCATCCCAGCCTAGAGGCGTTATACAGCACTATGCTGTTGGGGAAACAGGTTTCAGATGAGAGCGTTAACACAGGGTTAACTTGACTGCTTGTGATTCTTAAAAGGAGCTTATCCTGGTGTCCTGGTCAAATGCCAACACCAATAAGGATCTACTTCTACCTAGTTATATTCTCCTGCAGTTGCAAATGGATAAAGTACTCTTCACTTCCTGTCCTAAACTCTTGTGTAGCATTCCTGGGCATTGTTAAACAATGACCGCATTCCACACACGTGACAAGATTAATCTATAGAGTATGGATAAAACTATATTGAATTTAAAATCACAGTTCACTTAGGTGCAAAATGGCCTTACACTGATACATGAAACTTCTTCACAGAGTCAGTTACAAGCAATCAAGATGTCACTGCTTTGGCAAGTAACTGAATACCACATACAGCATATTTGTTTAGCAACATTTTATCTGACTCTGGCATCCCGTCTATAAAAACACAAGATATTATTGTTTGTGCATGTTCCTACAGAAATAATAATATCTTAAATTGTGAGTCACTTTTATAGTGGGGTATGTTTATTTACACACACAGTGTCTTGGTTGAGCAGCTGTGAATTTGGAAATGTGAATTCAATTTCTTTTTGGAAGATATGTTAAAATAGGTTGACTATCAGTCAACATCTATAAGTCTTCAGCAGGATGCTGATGTAGGGATCAAAATATTAATCACTGACAGGTACGCTTACACCTGTCAGGCCGTTAGTACAAACCACTATTTCCAAAGCACTCAGAGTCTTTAGGGATCAGCTGCAAGAGAAAATATGTTTCAGAACAAAGCCGCTTTTGGAGTGTGAATCAAAATAGCTGAAATCATAAGATATAATGGGCCAGATGCTCAGCTGATGTAAACTGGTATATCTCCATTGAAGTCAATGGAGCTACATTGATATACAGCAGCTGAAGATGTGGCCTAATGAATTTAAATGTATCAATTTGGGCATTTAAAATCTGAGCCACCATAAACAAAAGACACTTTAGAAAATGACGGCTTTACTTTCTAAAATCACTTTAGAATTTATCACAAGTCAAAAGTAGCCATCAAATTTCAAAATGAGCTACAAAACCAAGCTAGGAATGTAGTGATGCCCAGAAATGCTGGGAGACAGTATAAGTTACTTTTGCCTCAGCTGTTCTAAAATTCATTTTAGACTTCACAAAATCTGAGTTCTCTCTGGATTTTTTTGGGTTACTAAAAATACAAATACTGTTTGTATTTGGTTTGCCCCATTATAAAGATTGTGCTCATTTGCAAAATTCAGATCTGGATCCAGATTTGGATTCAAAACTCTCTAAAGTTTAGGGCTGTTTGGATCTGGAGGTTTGGTTCTGATCCATCTTTAATCAAAATGAATCATTTTGGGATGTCTACGGCAGGGCCTGTGCAAGGAAGTTTCGTGCCCTAGGCGCGAAACTTCCACCTTGCGCCCCCCCCCCGCCCCGCACCCCCCCCCCCCCCCCCAGGGGCGCCCCCCCCCCCCCCCCGTGGCAGCTAACCCCGCCCGCCACGGCAGCTAACCCAGCCCGCCACCACCCCCACCCGGGGAGCCTGCCGCCCCCCTCCACCCGGGGAGCCCCCCCGCAGCAGCTACCCCCCCTCTGCAGCTAACCCCACCCGGGGAGCCTGCCCCAGCTCACCTCCACTCCGCCTCCTCCGCTGAGCACGCCGGTGCCGCTCTAATTCTCCTCCCCTCCCAGGCTTGCGGCACCGATTGGAGGAGAATTAGAGCGGGGGCTGTGTGCTCAGCGGAGGAGGCAGAATGGACGTGATCTGGGGCGGGGAACGGTTCCCCTGTGCACCCCCCCCCCCGTTACTGCGGGCGGCCCTCCCCCGCATCCCCCCGCCCCAGCTCACCTCTACTCCACCTCCTCGCCTGAGCGGGCTTTTAGGCGCCCTCAACCCTAGGCGGCCACCTAGTTCACCTAGTGGTTGCACCAGCCCTGGTCTAGGGACAGTTCCTCCTCTGATATATTTCACCAGAACTCCTTGCCCCAGAAGTCAATGCAACTGCTGGTATTTCTGGTCTCTGTGATTTCCCAGAATGCTGCATTTCATGGTGTTACTAGAGAACCAGGAGCAGCCAAGCCTTCACAGTGGCTTAAAATAATTTTGAAGAAGGCTAGTTAAAGCTTATTTATCTGCTGGATGCCCAGGGAGCATGTTAACAGTGGGCTGGTACTTGAAACGATTCAAAATCATTGAAGTATGAAACTCCATGCTACGAAGAAACTTAGCTCCAGCCAGCCTCCCTACTCCTAGGCCATTTAGAACGAGTTAGATACATTTATCTGGATCCTGACAGATCTTGGAATAACCCTGGACATCTCTAGTTTGGAATGTTTACTATTTGTCCGCAATATCTCCCTGCCCCAGTTACCTTGGGCCACTGCAATGTAACAGCCTGCATACCTTCTCCTTGTCTGGTGTAGGAGTATTTTCTGCAGCACTGTTCCTGTGGAGCTGCCAGCATCTTGCTCAACTCGTACCAGGAGGTGAAGAAATTTTTTACTGGGAGGAGCAGACCGCACAGTCTCTTGGTTCAGAGTGGAAACCAGTCCGACCTTTCGATCATCCCAGAAAGAGGTGGGTTTCAGTATTGGTGTTGATGTCTCGTGGCCCTGATTCACTCCCACCCTGCAACTTGTGTTATCATCTACACCTGTGCCAAGTGGGGGTAAAATGCTGCTAAATCAGGTGGCTAGCGTTTCACACTGCTTTGCACTGCTTTTGCACAGGTGTAAATCTTGTAGAAGTGTTGTGAGTCTTGACACCTTCTAACCCCTCACAGAGAGGGTGTAGTCTCGAATAGGCAAGTTCTGGTACTACCCGAATGGCCCTGCCAGTGTGGGAATACCCTTGCCAGCTTGACCTCTTATATCCAATACATGCGAAGTCACACTGAATGTAGGATGCCATTTTGAGAACAAAATGGAGCCTTCAGGGGGCAAAAGTGCCAGAACACTGTTCAGATGTGTTCTGGCCCTGGCTCGAGGGACAGACCCCAGCATAACCCACCGCAGATCCCCAGAGGCCGGGGACCCCACTTTGGGAACCACTCTCCTAGTGTACACAAGGCCTGGTGTAGTTTTACCATATTAGCTGGTTGGGGTAAATCCTATGGGGTAACCTAGGGTGTTACCTTGACCAGCTAATATGTTTTAAAACTACAATTGCCTTGTCTACACTAGGATTTTAATATGGGTTAGCTAACATGTAGACATGGTGAGAGGAGCTAAGGGAAGTGCACTCACTAAACTGTCCTTTCAAGGAATCCAACATTCCTTAGCCCGTGTGTTAGGATAGTTCTTCATTGGCACCTTAAGATACTCAAAACAAGCCTTAGCCCCTTGCCCCAGTTATGAGCATCCTACCATCTCAAACAGGCACAGAGCACATCCTAGCTGAGGCAGAGCTAAGCTCTATCTGTGCAGTTTGGATTCCAATGCAAACTTTCCCACAGGTTTGGAGGGACTGGGCTCAGCCTGTTATGAAGAACACAGTCAGCTGGGAAGTTTGGATCCATAGGAGGATCTGAACTAACCCAAATTCTGAGGCTGTTTGGTTTCACTGTGAAGTTTGGGCTTAGGCCCATCTCTCAGACTATGACACCACTGCCAGCCATCCCCTGCACACAACAGACACGAGCCTTCTCAGATGTATTCAGAAAGAGAGGAGAGCCCTTTTAAGCAAGCTGTGCTCTGCTCCCCTGGTTTGGAAGGATGCTTGTCTAGATTAACACCACAGGAGATTGAATCAGTTTGGAAACAATTGAGAAATCTCCCAAACCCTCACTCATTTCTAGAACGAAACTTGAACCCAACATTCTGAAGCCGGGATGAGCCTGAGACAGAACATGTGGATCCAGGGAATGTTTTATCTGGGGTTTTGGTCCAGGTCCATCTCCAGTTTTAAGGTTCTGAAATGCTCCAGCATTTCCCTCCCTCCCACACACGCACTTGTGGTTTCTGAACACTGAAGTCAATGGGAGCTTTGTCATTGATTTAAACAGGGCCAAGATTTCATGCCTTATATCCAAGTGAATTCCAAAATCCTCTGAGGGTGGGGAGGAGCTATCCAAATCTATCCTACCTTAGAACAGTACCTGTTCCATAGGGGATTGCAGCAGCAAAGCTAGGACATTTCTTGTTTCTTGTAAGACAAGGAACTCAGGCACTTAAAGTGGGAAAGAATGTCTCCAGCGTTCTCTTTCCAAGGCTAGTAGTTCACAGCCTGCTGATAACACTGCCCATAGGGACCCTACTGGGCCATTTGTGTGAATAAAGCTGAGCATTGAATTGCAGGAAGTGACACACACCTGGAATCAGGAGATAGACAGCTGGTGCTGGGACTCAGGAAGACCTGGAGTAAAAGGAGCAATGAGGAGAATGACCTCAGAGATGCCTATAATCTGACTGATGGCCGAGCTTTCCTGCTAAAGGACCCAACTACGAAAAAGGTGACTGATAAGCTAACACTCAGACAGACTGGCAAAGCTGTGATGACAGGGCTGAGACAGCAAGGGGAGCAACCATCAGCCAAATGCTAGGGGATCAAAGTGAGGTTTTGGAGACTGTACAAAATTAGGGACTGAGAAAAATCTGCTGAGAAATGGGAGTCAATAAGAGCTGTGGGTGCTCAGCACCAGGCCTGAAATGAAGACATCAATACACTTTATCTGTGGCTTGGAATGTGGTGGTGTAACAACAAGCCTCCAGCCCAAATTCAAACCCAACCCATGCTGATGTGACGCCCTTGTGAAGTCAAAGAAACTCTGGGCGGGTGTTTTTCCTCTTCAGTGCTTTTCCATTGTTTATGGCATCTCTGCACTTTCAGGTTCTGGTGGGAATCAGAAGTGCTGGGATGCTGGGCGAGAGGCTGTAATCGCAGTGTTACAGCTTCACAGGAGAGAGAAAGCAGTGGGAATCTTACAGGAAAGTGCCTGTAGGAAGTTTCCAGCCCAAAGTTGCACACCTAAGTGGTTCAGATTGTTTGCATGAGCTTCAGAGACACATTCAAGGCTTGATCCTGAAAGGTGCTGCGTGCTCTGGCCCTAACCCAGCAAAGCATTTAAGCACAACCTTAACATTAAGCGCATGAGAAATCCTTGTGATTTCAGTGGGCTGCAGGATCAAGCTCTCACAATTTAGGTGCCTATTGAAACAGAACTGTTTGGAGATCCTACTATTATTGACATGTGGATTCCATTAAAACACAATCAGCATTTTCCATACCACCGCGTTTCACCTTTCTATGGTCTCCATGGGATACCCAGCAATCAGAATGGGAAATGCAGCATTAAATGTAACTGCAGGTGGTAAATGCTGATCTTCGTCAGTCACCCGAGTACTTCATCCTCAATCTAAGTGAAAGTAAAGCGAAAAATCAGAGCTAGGATACACTTAAGTTATTGTAGTTATGTCAGCAGGGCCTGGTAGAGCCATCCAAGATGTGCTAGGCGCTGTATACTTGAACTTACAGTCCTAATAGACATGAAAGACAAAAGGTGGGAGTAAGGAAGGCGTATGATCCCCATTTTACTGATGGAGGACAGAGAGATGGATTGACTTGATCATGGTGAAGCAGGGAGTGTGTGGCAGAGCTGGGGAACTGAGCCCAGCTAGTGCCCTTTCCACAAGATCAGCCCTCGCTCCGGCTAATTCTGATTTTTCTTTTGCCTTTGTTTTCAGAGGGCTGACCTCGGTAAGAGTATCCCAGTAAGTACTGACGTCGTTACATGTACTTCCCTTCCACATAGAATTTCTAATATCAGTATTTATTATGCGTGTTATCAATCATAGTACCTAGCAGCCCCAGTCATGGCCCAGGAGCCCATGGTGCTAGGTGCCGTACACACACAGAACAAAAAAGACGATCCTTGTCCCCAAAAGTTTACAACCTAGTAATAGAGCCAATAGTGCCACCGTCCCATCTGCTGATTGTTACCCCTTCTGAGTGTTCTTCACTGGAGTTGCCTCAGCCGTCCTCCATCCTCACTACAGATAACACAGTTGTCCAACGCATCCTTCACAAGGAAAGAGATTGAACAATTTGTATTGGGACTTTCTTTAATGTAGACAGTGTAAGCTTTTCTGAGCAGAGGCTATCATATACTCTATGTTTGTACAGTGCCTAACACAATGGGGCCCCAACCTAGCTAAGGTCTTCAGACCCTACTACAATATAGCAATGGTGATTTGCTATTTTAGCTATTATCCTGGCTTCACTTAAGAAAAGTTAACTTGGTATCAGTGAAACTAATATTTCAATCTTCATCTGAACCTACGACAGATGGTATGAAATTTAGTAGACCCCGAATAAGATTAACAGTGATAAAGTCTCCTCTCCTGAACTTGTTGTGCAGCACTGGTATGTGCTGGTGAATAGTTGTCTGATTCCACTCCAGAGGTGGCTGCAATTCAGTTTTTTCTGCATTCTATTACATAGCATATTAAAGCACTTCAGGAGTCTTTCAATTAACATGGGAAACATTTTTCTTCTCTTTCAAAGATTTCCCAGCAATGGCTCTGGGAATTTTATAACAAGGTGGTGTTGGACATCAAGGCTTTTGAAACAGGAGTAACAAAAGGGGTACCCCATGAGAACTTAGGATGAGTTCAGCCCCAGATGGAACATTAGAAAACTGTTAACAAGAGGCCTTGATTTGTTAAAAATAAAAACAGATTGTAATTAGCATTTAGAAATGAAGTTTTGAATTGGCATGGGTTGCTGATATGAAAGGAAAAAAATCTGGGCCTGATTCTCATCTCATTTACATCAGTATAAACCAAGAGCAGCTCTACTGAAACCAGTTGAGTTACACTAGTGTAACCAACACTAGGGTAAATGAGACAGGAGTCAGGCTGTGATTTTTAGGATGGTTTTTTTTGTAAAGCCTCCCTGGGTATGTGTAAGTGGGCAAGGAACCAAATCAGTTGAACTATTTTTGTCCTTCAGAGAGTTAAACAATGAGGTGAAATGTGCCTTAAGGCAGCTCCCCAGCACCACCCACCAACCACCAACTACCTTTCACTCTCTAAAACATTAACTTGGAAAGATCGATCATGGGCACAGCAATGTAACTGGGGGAAAATGGCAGTAGTAGAAATTTATTGGAGGCTACAGGAACCTCTACTTCCATGTCATGTTCAAGCCACACTACATAATGGTCATAACTGCAGACTGAATACCAAGGCGGGGAAATTGCTAACTCTAAAGTCTGTGGAATAATCTCCCAAGGACTATTATAAATCAATTTGTTTGACCTGAAACTAGACAACTAATTTTTTCGAAAAAAGAATAGTCCTGTATTGGCACCAAGAGGGACAATAACTCTGATGTTCTGGCTAAGTTAGTATTTTAAGCAGAAATCTCCCCTCTAAATCAGTCATCCTGGAAGCACCCTTTAGTACTGCCCACTGGACAGGGAATTTTCTCTAGGTATCAGCCTAAGTTGTGGTTTGGTTTGCACTGCCCAGGGTGAAAGCCACGCTTGGGGCAGAATGAGGGATCTCATGAAGAAGACTAGGCTGAGGAACCAGAGCAAGTTGGGACTGTCATCGGCAGCTCTGAAGAGGTCCTGCCCACAGCTCTACAGGTAGTACCTGCCAGGACTGTGATGTTCATGGGAGTCTTTAGTTTGTAATTGAGAGGATGCAGTGAGGGGGCTTAATGAAGATTTCTCTATGACTGCTCATGGCAGGAGAGTACTTTTCTGAACCTGACAACTCCCTCCTCATCTCTAGCCATTGCAGTTTGCTGCTAGTTCTGGTAAAGGTACAAGTTATTTGTGTCTTCTCTTGTCCAGCCAATTTAAATTTCCACCTGGCCTGTAAAGATTTCCTGCTGTGCTGGGTGAATGCCATTGGATAACATTGAAGTGCTGTAAAAAAGATCCTTTTCCCTAGCATGGCAGGGGAACCTTCGGTCTCCTGGACAGTCCACCTGAGACATCCAGCACGTAACTGGCCAGGGCCAATTCAAATCCAGCCCATACATCAATTTTTATTCCAAATCCTTTTGAGCTATATGCTGCCTTCAATCCCGCAATGCGTCTCCCTTCAAGGGGAATGGTAACCCCATGTTGTACCCAATCTAGTTCGGAGATGCAGAGTGGAAAAATCAGAATTGGTGTAAAGATTTCCATTCAACTGAGAAGCAGATAATCATTTGCTGACTATGTGTATACTTGGATGGTTTCTATTCATCGTTATGGTTGGGTAATTGGGCAGAAAGCAGAGCATCCCACCTCTGCTAGGTAACCTATGCTGGTCCCTTGGATGGACACTAATAACACATTCACTTTATATTACATGGCCTATCTCTACATATCACCATGCAGTATGGGTGAGTCAAATACTATGGGTACGTCTACAGTATGAAATTAATTCAAAATTATTCTATTCGAATTTTCTGAAGCGATTTTATACATTCAATGTTGTGTGTCCCCACTAAAGCGCGTGAATTCGGCGGAGTGCATCCACAGTACCGAGGCTAGCATCGAATGTCGGAGTGGTGCACTGTGGGTTGCTATCCCACAGTTCCCGCAGTCCCCACCGCCCATTGGAATTCTGGGTTAAGCTCCCAGTGCCTGATGGGGCAAAAACATTCTCGTGGGTGTTTCTGGGTGTGTGTCGTCACTTGCTCCTCCCTCCGTGAAAGCTACGGCAGACGCCATACTGCCAGCAGACGGTGCAGTACAGTGCACCGTCTGTCTTCTGGTACTATGAATCCACCTCGCATGTCCTCTCGTCTTTCTATCTACTCTTTTATCTAACCATTTCCCGCCTTTTTTCGGCCACCGTGAACCGAGCAGCACAGTTTCCGCCGCAAACTCTGCTCTCCCACTCTTGCAGCACTTGCTAATTTCTCCATGTTGTCTATCCTGGACTCCTGTGGAAGCTACAGAAGGCAACAATTTCCCACTGTTTTTTGGCCATCGTGAACTAAGGCGCACAGCTTGCGCCGCAAACTCTGCTCTCCCGCACTTGCAGCTCTAGAGAGCTTCCCACCTCCGTGAAAGCTACAGAAGACAACCATTTACCGCCTTTTATCGGCCATCTTGAATCGAACAGCTCTCCTAGGTTTTGCGTCCTTTTTCCAGGATTACCCGTGCAGGGCGCCATAGCGTGGCAAGCATGGAGCCTGCTCAGATCTCCGCTGCAGTTTTGACCATTGTAAATACCTTGTGCATTATCCAGTAGTATGTGCAGTACCTGCAAAACCGGGCGAGGAAGCGATGACTGCGCGATTACTATACCGATGAGGACATGGACACAGACGTTCCTAGAAGCACGACATGTGGCGATTGGGAGATCATAGTGGCATTGGGCCAGGTTTGTGCCATGGAACGCCAATTCTGGGCCTAGGAAACAAGCACAGACTGGTGGGACCGCATAGTGTTGCAGATCTGGGATGATTCCCAGTGGCTGCGAAACTTTCGTATGCGTAGGGCCACTTTCATGGAACTTTGTGACTTGCTGTCCTCTGCCCTGAAGCGCAAAGACACCAAAATGAGAGCAGCCCTCACAGTTGAGAAGCGAGTGGCCATAGCACTGGAAGCTTGCAATGCCCGACAGCTACCGGTCAGTCGGGAATCAGTTTGGAGTGGGCAAATCTACTGTGGGGGCTGCTGTGCTGCAAGTAGCCAAGGCAATCATTGACCAGCTGCTATTAAGGGTAGTGACTTTGGGAAATGTGCAGACCATTGTGGATGGCTTTAATGCACTGGGGTTCCCTAACTGCGGTGGGGAGATAGACAGAACGCATATCCCTATCTTGGCCCCGGCACACCGGGGCGGCCAGTACATAAACTGCAAGGAGTACCTTTCCATGGTGCTTCAAGCACTGGTGGATCACAAGGGATGTTTCACCGACATCAACGTGGGATGGCCAGGAAAGGTGCATGACGCTCGCATCTTCAGGAATTCTGGTCTGTTTGAACAGCTGCAGGAAGGGACTTATTTCCCAGACCAGAAAATTACTGTTGGGGATGTTGAAATGCCTAGTTATCCTCGGGGACCCAGCCTACCCCTTAATGCCATGACTCATGAAGCCGTACACAGGCACCCTGGACAGTAGTAAGGAGCAGTTCAACTATAGGCTGAGCAAGTGCAGAATGGTGGTAGAATGTGCTTTTGGACGTTTGAAAGCGCCCTGGCGCAGTTTACTGACTCGGTTAGATCTCAGCAATATTCCAATTGTAATTGCTGCTTGTTGTGTGCTCCACAATATCTGTGACAGTAAGGGGGAGCCATTTATGGCAGGGTGGGAGGTTGAGGCAACTCGCCTGGTGGCCAATTTCGCACAGCCAGACACCAGGGCAGTTAGAAGAGTACAGGAGGGCGCGCTGGGCATCAGAGAAGCTTTGAAAACCAGTTTCATGACTGGCCAGGCTACGGTGTGACAGTTGTGTTTGTTTCTCTTGAAGTTACCTGCCCCCTATATATATGGAAGGAAATAAAGTCACAGTTGTTTAAAAACCCTTTTTTATTATTTGTTGCACAACACATTGAGAGAAATCAGAAGGTAGACGGGGTGTGGGGGGGGGGAATTGGGTTGGAGGGTGGAGGAGGAGGGAAGGACAAGTCCAGAAACCAAATCAAAAGTTCGCATATGCCAACTTTCTGCTGCTTGGGCGATCCTCTGGGTTGAGTGTGTGGGTCCCTGTAGCCTCCCCACTCGTGTTCTTGGGCGTCTGGGTGAGGAGGCTATGGAACTTGGGGAGGAGGGAGGGCAGTTATACAGAGGCTGCAGCGGCAGTCTGTGGTCTTGCTGCCTTTCCCGCATTAGATCCACCATACAGCGGAGCATGTCAGTTTGCTCCCCCATGAGCTTAACCATAGCGTCCTGCCTGCTCTCATCGCACGCGTCCCTCCTCTCTTTGTATTCCTGTAATGCTTTACGGGACTCCGCAATTGTTTGCCTCCACGCATTCAGCTGGGCCCTATCAGTGCGGGAGGACTGCATGAGCTCGGCGAACATGTCGTCCCAAGTTCGTTTTTTCCGCCTTCTAATCTGGTCCAGCCTCTGGGACGGAGTAGATAGGGGCCGCGTTGAAACATTTGCATCTGCGGGAGGAGAAAAAGGGAGGGTAGTATTTTAAAAGATACATTTCATCATGAAACAGGCAATTCATAGTTCACAGCACATGTTCTTTCTGTACAAGTTAGCATTTTGCCTCTTATACTGAAGTGCCTGCCACTTTGGTGTGAGTAAGCCATCACACATGGGCAACAGAATTCAGCTTGCAGGCAGCCTAGGGGCACGCGGTGTTCTGCTTCTTCCACATTCATTTCAATGCTTTCAAACTGCTGGGCCCCCTTTCCCATAGCAAGCAATGCCTGGTGGGTTTGCCATATAAAAGGAGGGTCTGTGGGCTCTCTGGGATGATCGCTTCACACAACACCCCCCTCCCACCCCTTGCACCCACCGTGTGGCTCCGATGAGGCTCTGAGCAGGGATGAGCCCTTTAAACTAAACGCGAACAGCCCAGCGTGGCTGGGTTTCCCCCCCACCCCCCACCGCGTGGCTCCGATCAGGCTCTCACTCACCAGAAGTACCTTCTCCAGGGTCATGGTCTGGGAGCCCACCTTGGAAGTGGTAGGAGGCTGTTGGCTCCAGCGTTAAGAATAGTTCCTGGCTAGGGAGGAAAACGGATTCCCCACTTACCGCCTGTGCACTGTCCTCCTCCTCTTCATCCTCCAATAACTCATCCTCCTCGCTCCGTGCAACTCCCCCCTTGCAGGTGTTCACGGACAGTGGTGGGGTAGTGGTGGTGTCACCCCCCATAATTGCTTGCAGCTCACAGTAGAATCGGAATGTATGAAGCTATGACTCAGAGCACCCGTTCGCCTCCCTGGCTTTTTGGTACACTTGCTTAGCTCCTTGATTTTTGTACGACTCTGCTCTGTGTCCCTGGAGTAGCCTCTTTCTGTCATGGCCCTGGAGACTTTAGCGTACATATTTGCGTTCCTTTTTTTGGAACGTAGTTCTGCCATAACAGATTCATCTCCCCAACATGCGATGAGATCCAGTACCTCCCATTCGGACCATGCTGGAGCTCATCTGCAAATCCGGGACTGCGTGATCTCCTGTGATGGTGGACTGTGCTGATGGTCACCTGTGCTGATGGTGACCAAACAGGCAATGAAATTCAAGAGTTCCCGGGGCTTTTCCTGCTCACCTGGCTAGTGCATCGGAGTTGAGAGTGTTGTCCAGAGCGGTCACAAGGGAGCATTCTGGGATAGCTCCCGGAGGCCAATAACGTTGAATTGTGTCCACAATACCTTTAACCCGGGATTGCGATCTCGATTTAAGCGCTACTCCACTTGCCGAGGTGGAATACGGAAATCGGATTAAAGAGCCCTTTAAATAGAAAAAACGGTTTAGTCGTGTGGACGGAATCTTTTTTTTTTTTAATTAACTCGGCTAATTCCGAAATAACCGACTAGTGTAGACCAGGCCTATGACACCACTGCCAGTCATCCCCTGCATGGATGTTCCTTTAGTTATCCAAGCTCTCTCATCTGTTTTAATGAATATCTGTTGCTTTGTGTATATAACTGGATAATAGGAAAAGCCTGGATATCTTACTCACAAGGGCAGGAGGATTACATGGCACTGTGCAACCTTCCCGTGTTTTTTCAGCTGGGGACTCAGTAGTATTGACAGCAATTGTTGCAAAGAATGCAGGCTATTTTCAATTTTCAGCTGGCAGAACAGCTGTTTAACTCAGGAATGTCCCAGTGTTCTGGGAGGTAGGGTGCACCTACATTATGAAGACATATTTGAATTAGGATCCATGTAGTTACAGCTCGAAAATCCTCTAATGGTTCACAGAATGGCTTTCCCAGCTGGAAAACACTTGGTGTGGGATCAAATCCGCGTAACAGGCAAGCTTCCTGCTATTGTTTGGGAAACCGAAACAAATACAAAGCAGGAAGAAATCAAACAGCTTCAGCTAAAGTACGTGGCATGGGCAAATCAGCCAGGGAGAAAACACAACCCATCCTGAACCTTCACTCCAAGCTTGTATTGGACCCAAACTGCATTTAGGGTTCAAAAGAGTTCTGGCTACATCTGTCTCTTTCTGACTGTAAGATCCTACCTGGTCTTTGCCCTGCTCTGTGCAGTGCTGAGAATATCACCAGTGCTCCATAAATAAGAATTATGCTGGTGTACTTCAGCATAGCTCCACTGAAGGCAATGGGAGCAGCTGAGGACTGGGTCCCATAGCTCTTTATACAATTGTTTTATCACTGCTGCACTTACTGGTTATGATGAATGATCTGCTCTGAGGTGTTTTCACAACTGCAAAAGAATTCTCCTATTAGAAAAGGAACCCGTTGCTTTACGTAGCAAAAGATGGGCTCCTGCCAAGGCAAACCCTTGGCCACAAGCAATGTGGTGTGCCTCATAATGTCCAAAACAGACTGATTTTTGTATATGCAGTTCTCATACTGATTCTTTACTCACATAGGGCGAAATTCACCCCTGTGCACATAGCCTATCCATCACTAGGGAACTCAAGTGGGGCACAGACCTGGGTCTGGTCCTCAGGAAAGGAGTGAAGCGATCATTCCTAATCCCTTTCTCTTTGGCTGGTTTATTGGATTTAAGATGTTCTAAAGTCATATGTGAACTTCACACAGTCAAATATTTGCTCCAGACAAATAGCTAAACATTGGTGCTTCTTCCAAAATTATGGGTAGAATCCAATCTTAGACGTGGAAATCTGGGCTGGAAATCTGCCTTGGTATTTTTACTGCCCCCATCACCATGGTATCTGAGCACCATATCTGCCTCCATCACCATATAACACCGTAAAGCCCTTAGGAGTAGTCTATGATTTGATCTGAATAGTCACCTCTTCTAGGGTGACCAGATAGCAAGTGTGAAATATGGGGACAGGGGATGGGGGGTAATAGGCGCCTACATAAGTCAAAGCCTTGAATATCGGGACTGTTCCTATAAAATCAGGACATCTGGTCACCCTAACCTCTTCCCCCACTCCAGGGGCAAGTAGGGTTCCATAGCACGACTGCTTTCTATCCTACTCTTTCTTAGCCCACTGAGGATAGGCAGAGTGCCAGAATAGGCTCTCACAGCATCGCCAATATGTCCTCCTTCTGGGAGAGCTACAAATACAGCAAGAGCAGCTTCTCTCAGGGCTAGAGCCCAGAAGCAGCCATGAAAATTAAAAGTAATGGAATCTCCCTAGCTATTTTCAGGGGCATCCGAGTTTTTCTGAAGCAAGCCCACAAGCCTTTAGCGGTGCACAGCTCACTAATCCTGTCTAGAGCTGGATCTGAGCTGTGACATTTTGGGGGTGGGGATGACCCACTCACTAGTGATTTTTCTGTCTATGTACATATGAACATTTTCATTTTCAAAAAAAGTCTTTAAAAAAAGTTCAAAAATTTTCAGCTGGCTCAGCCATGATCTTTCACCAGCCCACTGTGCCTGATCCAAAGCCCACCAAAATCAGTGGGAATCTTTATGGTGACTTCAATGGGCCCTTCAATCAGGTTGTACACACATCAAAAAAACTGAAGCCAAGACTGATTCAAATCATCAGATATCTTGCCCCTCCAAAAAGCATTTTTCTGCCCAACAAAAGAACTGGATTTTTAAAGGTGAAACTTCCCAGCAATAGGGTTGATTTGATATTTTCTGCCTGTCACTCCCCACCTCCCATGTGGGGACATACTGAGTATTTTCCTGCAGATGGTATTTGTGTCAGCCTGTTTGTCATGCTGGGACTCACAGCCAAGCAAAAACATTTTATAGCCTCCATTTTTGGATGCTGCCACAAATATTTTGACAGCATGTGTTTTGGAAATTTAGGCTGGAGCTGGAGAAACTAACAGATCTGGATGTAGCTCAGATGTGTGCATATAGGCCCAGTGTAATATGTGCAAAAACACAACCACATGTTCTGAGTCCTATAAACATTAATAGCATTTTCCCATTGGTTTAGGCCAGAGGTTAAGACTTCGGATCGGAGGAAGATGGAGAGGAACTCTATGATTGTTCTGGGGCAAAGCACAAAGAATGAAAACATCTGGCCTTTCTGAGCATCTGAATCCAATGGACCAAGGTAAAAGAGTTATCAGGGAGGAGGCTTTTTCCTTCCTCCAGCAGAGAAGTGATTTTGCATCCCATTACCAAGCTATGTTTCCATGGGCAAACACTTGGATAAGGTCTGATTGCTGTAAATAGCCCCAGTAACTAAGCCCATGGAACTACTGTCATTTACAAGAGCTGAGGATCTGGCCCATGTATATTTATTTTAAAATGAAGACTAATTTGGGGTAAAACGACCTAGATTTTTAAGGCCAGAAAGGAACAACAGGTAATGATCAATGGCTCAATGTATAGTTGGCAGCCGGTTTGCCCCAGGGGTCTGTCATGGGGCCGGTTTTGTTCAACATCTTCATTAATGATCTGGATGATGGGATGGATTGCACCCTCAGCAAGTTCACGTATGACACTAAGCTGGGGGGAGAGGTAGATACACTGGAGGGTAGGGATAGGATCCAGAGAGACCTAGACAAATTGGAAGATTGGGCTAAAAGAAATCTGATGAAGTTCAACAAGGGCAAGTGCAGAGTTCTGCACTTAGGATGGAAGAATCCCATGCACCGCTACAGGCTGGGGACCGACTGGCTAAGTGGCAGTTCTGCAGAAAAGGACCTGGGGATTACAGTGGATGAGCAGCTGGATGTGAGTCAACAGTGTGACCTTGTTGCCAAAAAGGCTAACTGCATATTGGGCTTCATTAGTAGGAGCATTGCCAGGAGATCGAGGGAAGTGATTATTCCCCTCTATTTGGCACTGGTGAGGCCAGATCTGGAGTATTGTGTCCAATTTTGGTCCCCCCACTACAGAAAGGATGTGGACAAATTGGAGAGAGTCCAGCGGAGGGCAACGAAAATGATTAGGGGGCTGGGGCACATGACTTATGAGGAGAGGCTGAGGGAACTGGGCTTATTTAGTCTGCAGAAGAGAAGAGTGAGGGGGTTTTGATAGCAGCCTTCAACTACCTGAAGGGGGGTTCCAAAGAGGATGAAGCTAAGCTGTTCTCAGTGGTGGCAGATGACAGAACAAGAAGCAATGGTCTCAAGTTGCAGTTGGGGAGGTCTAGGTTGGATATTAGGAAACACTATTTCACTAGGAGGGTGGTGAATCACTGGAATGGGTTACCTAGGAAGGTGGTGGAATCTCCATCCTTAGAGGTTTTTAAGGCTCAGCTTGACAAAGCCCTGGCTGGGATGATTTAGTTGGGGTTGGTCCTGCTTTGAGCAGGGGGTTGGATTAGATGACCTCCTGAGGTCTCTTCCAACCCTAATCTTCTATGATTCTATGAACATTCTGATCATATTGTCTGCCCTCCTGTACAACTCAGGCCTGAGATACTCACCCAGCAATCCCTACATTAAACGCACTAACTTGCCATTGAACTAGAGCATATATTTTAGAGTGACATCCAGTATTGCTTGAAAGATTCTAAGTGATGGAGAATCCACCCCATCCCTCAGCACATGAGAGCATCCCCGTATTCAAATCTGAATAGAAACAGATTCACCCCATTCTCTAGGTCTGTGATGGAAAAGCAATTGACTGTAAGGGAGAAGAGTGCCTCCCTTTCTGTTCTCCCCCATGAGCTGCTACATTCCACGGCCTACATTCTTGTTTCAGAGGTAAATGAGCTGGGGCGCTGCTGGACATGAAATTGAAAACCACGAGGCTACATTGTGCAGACCAAGCTCTACAGCAGGATCAGCATCAAGGCAGCAGGGAGGGAGGAGAGGTAAAAGAAAGATTTGCTGAAGGGCAGGGTGCTCAGCTGTACTAGAGTTTACTCTTGACATGAATGTAAAAGTGAACTTAAAACAATGCTATATACCAGGAATATAGTTACTATCTCAGCAATAATAACCAAGCAGGTTTGATACAATTTCATAAACAAGCTACCTTAAGTCCTCCTGCTTGTGAAGTATTATTGATCTCCTGGGCTTTATTCAGCAGAAACAGGCTAAACCCCCATAGAACACCAGTGCTTTAAGGAAAAACAAAGATTGGGAGACTACATGTAGTAGACACTGCTGGGCGTGAGCAGCAGTGCATGACTTAAGGGATTTTTTATATCTCCACTTGTGGGTATTACTAACAAGTCTGCACATTTTAAAGGTCTCCACCCAGCAGTGATTGGCTGGGGAGTTTTACTGAGGTCCCATGCAATGTCCAACTCAATCAAAGCCACCAGCCAAGATTTTCTAAAGCTGGATTTGTAAGTGCAAGGTTAGGTGCCAGTCTTGTGCATGTGACCCCCTTTGCCAGTCTGGAGCTTCACTGACCTCAGTGGGTCCCCATGCAGACAGACGGTTACAGCCATGCAGAGATTATTGCAGGACACTGGGGCCTTCAACCGTTCAGCACCTAATAAGTGGCCTGATTTTTAAAAGTGCTGAGTGAGCTGCCCACCCAGATCCTTGGTTTCACTGGGTACTCAGGATTTTGGAAAGCCAGGCCACTTTATTAGGAGCCAAATGCAGGCTCCTGTTTTTAAAGGTTATGGCCATGTTGGGTGAAGGCTCCTGGTCTGTTTGGCTGCCTGTGCATCACCATGTGCCATAGGATTTAAGAGGCAAAAAAGCCAAATGAACTTAAACCTATGCCTGTGGATCAAGTGCTGGATTGGGGCTCCCTCTGCTGGGAAAGTTAGAATAATAGGGAGATTGAGGATGGAAAGGAAAGTTTTAAATCTCTATTACAAGCTAGGGTAGTTCTTTTTCCAGCTAAGGTCTATAGGCCTGCCCTCTGTTATCTACTAGATAGCTTTAAGGCTATGCCCAGCTGTTTGGAGGCTGCACTGTTGCAACTCATCCATTGTCCACCTTTAACAGATTCAGAGGACACAGACCATGGTTAAAAAGGTCCCCCTGAAGCCATGACTACAGCAGCATCTCTGTGCATGTGCTATAAACCCACATTTCTTTTTTGCTACAAGCTCAGAATCCAAAGACTCACCCACATGGAGTAAAAACTAGTCTTTGCCTATTGGGGGAAGTGAATTCTGTCTGCTAAATTGGATTTAGACAGCTGAGCTGTTTAGCAAACAAAGTCCACAGACTCAAGTTACTGCTGACTAAAGCCCCAACTTCACATATATCTGGAACCCTAGGACACTCTCAGAAACTAACAGGCAAACTTCAAAAGGTTCAGCGTTTGAATAACTCTCCAAAACCTTAAGTGAATTTCCTCTGCTCATCTGGGCTATCAGGAACCTATTGGTTCAACAAAACTGGGTTAGAACTCTCTGGAGGACAGGATCTCTCAGGATATGCCAGTATTGCTGCCCAAGTGCGGAGCCAAAGGTGTAAATAAAGTAAGCTAGCCAAGCTAGAGCTGGACCCAAGCTGCAAAAGTCAGAACAGGATCCAGACTTGGGGAGGAAGAGGATGTTAAATCCAGGCAGCTTATCTAGATTTAGAACCCAGTAACAAAATTCTGGATCCAAATTTACTCCACATTTTTGGCTGGTTTTGGCCCATTTCTAATACAAACACTTGAGAATATTTTATAAAGAATTTTGTTCTCATGACAGACAATGACCTGAGGTGAAACAGCTGTTATTTATCAGAACCTCTTTGGACATACAGGCCAAAAATACCAAGAATGTTCTCTAATTTTGGGGGAGCAGAAGAGCATCTTGAGATGCCTTCAAAGGTGCTGAGCACCTACAACTCCAAGGGAACTCATATGAAGCTATGGGAAGCTCAGTACCTCTGAAAATCGGGCACAAACTGTCTCAGATTGAGCATCCAAAAATGAAAGCACCCAAAAGAAGGTGCTCTGATAGATCTTTCAGCTGTGCAACAAACTCAGCTGCCACTCTGGTTTTCAGTTAGTCAGTGTATGTCCTGCCAGCTTTATCCAGAGCTGGGGAGGTTTTATCTTGATTATTCTGTGAATAATCATTGTGTCTTCATTAATGCAGCGGGCCAAATCCTACATTAATTTACAGCCTCTGTAATCTCACTGACTCCAGGCAGAATTGGGCCATACGTGTTATAATAAACAGTATAATGAACTGGTATTTTTACACTTAAATGACTTTATGTATAGTTTTTATAAAATGAATTATCACTGTTCTGTTATGATGTTATATGAAATATATTCCTACATTTTCAGCAATAAATATATTTATTCCCTGCAACATACTGTGTATTTCCCCATCCTAGGATTCATTGTGATACAAATGTAAGGAGCATAATAAAAGCATCACTATTATGGAATACATTTGATCATAGCATTTTTAAGAGAGACTAGAAACAGGGTAAAAGTGTTGGGAAGCTGAAGGATACATTTTTTAATTCTGAGTGCCTCATCTGAGAGACCCATCTTGGACATGATTTTCAAAAGTATGAAACATCCATAATTCCAATGGGAGTGAGGGATGCTGTTGCACATTTCTGAAAATAAGGCTCAAGACATCGTACAGGGGAACCCAGAAATGGAGACGCTCAAAATTAGAAGCTACTTTTGAACTTTTCAATGTTATTGCTCAGCTACGGAACAGCCTTTTACAGCAAGAGATGAGACAAGAAGCAATAGTCTCATGTTTCTGTTGACTGATGTCACAATACCCTTTCTGAGTTATGTAACCCATGTTGATACATGGGTTACATGAAGGCCGCTTCCCTCATCCACCAATACACCTTCTCCACTTTCACCCTTACACCTTCATCCGCCCATACAGCCATATTTCCATTCATCCCTTCACCACCAGTTCATAAAAATGCTTCATTATAACCAAGCCACGAGTCACTCCTGATTGTCAGGGGGACAAATTTCTCGTATGTTCATCATTGGAAATTACTTAGCCATCTCTCCTGGCTAAGTAATCACGTGATCGATTCGTGAAAATTCTTCATTAAAAACAAAAAAGAAATCCCTGCTGAACCTTCAGGGCGGCAAAGTTCTAAGACAGTGGTTCCCAAACTGGGGTTCGCAAAATGTTACAGGGGGTTCTCGGGAAAAGATTCCCTAATGGCAGACAGAGCTGTCCCTAGGAACCCCGGGCAGCACTGGGCCAGCAGCCCAGAGTCCCTGGACTTCCAAGAGCTAAGCAGATCAAAGCAAGCATATCTATCACACTGAGGAGATTTAAACTTCATGACTCCTTATAAGAAATGGAAAGGGAGGTGGATATTTTTTGCTGTTTTTAAAATTAAATAGGCAGCTAGTATTGTTTTAAAAATTATTATGAAGAACAAGTTTAAGCTTTGTTGTAATGTGCGTTATTTACCAGTACTGCTCAAGACCTGAATGCTTATGTAGGAGGAACGATTTGAGTTGGCTTCTTAAATACCTTCATGCTGTTTCACATCTGATTCTCCTTGATGGAACATAGGAGCTTTGTCTTATAACAGGCTTATTCAAAGTGATACAAGCTACGAAAGTGAGATCTTGGAAGAGTGTTGCCGTTTTCATAATGTAATAACAGTACTATAATGATAAATAATCATTAATAATAAATAGTGTGTAATAAGCATGTCATAAAAACAAATTTTATATTTCCAAGATCACTGCTTTTATAATTTATACTCAAGTAAAGGAGAAAATCCCTGGAAATATTCATTTTTAGGAGGGGGTTCGCAAGACTTGACATTTTAGTGAAAGGGGTTCACAGGTTGTTAAAGTTTGGAACCACTGTTCTAAGAGAACTCATTGCAAAGCAATTAGGAATCTCTCCTGACAACTCAGACAATGTTTGTTGTGAAAGTTCTTCATTGCAACCAAGCAATCATTCTCTGGTGATCACCTATTTGAAATGCTCTCAATCTTCATTGCAAAGCATTAAGATGCTCTCCTGACATTTCAGTGGATATTGGTTCGTGAAAGTTCTTCATTGCAACCAAGCAACTATTGAGGGCCAAAAAGTCCTCAGCGAACCTACATTGCAAAGCAGTTAGGAATCTCTCCTGACAATTCAGGGGTGATCTCTCATCAAAATTCTTCACTTCAACCAAGCACAACTGATAGTTTAGGATGACAAAGTTGCTGGAAAATCTGAGTATGCGAGAAAGGGTGGGGAATTGCGGATGAGTGGTTAGGTGGATTGATGGGGAAGGGTGGTGTGGGGGATTAGTGGGGAGGGTGGATGGATGGGGATGAGTGGATGGGTGGGGGAGGGGTTATAGGTGTATGCCTGGGAAAGGTGGATGGGTGCATAGGTGGATGGGTAGCAGAGCGTGCATGGGTGGGTGGATATTGGTGCTGGGTGAGGGTGGCTGGGTGAGGGTGGGGAGTGTGCATAGGTAACTAAGTGGACGGGTGGGGAAGGGTGGATGGATGGTTGCGTTGAGAGTTGGTGGATAGGTCAGAGGGTGGGGGAGCATGGATTGGTGGGTTGGTAGATGGGTGTATGTGGGTGTATGTTTGGATGTGTTTATTGATGTATGAGTGGATGGGTGTGGGTGGATGGGTGGGAGGAGATATGAAATAGGTGATGGAGCATGTATGGGTAGGGGAGGGTGTATGGTTATGGGAGAGAATATTGGTGCATGAGTGGATGAGGATCTTTGGGTGGATGGTGGAAGAGGGTGGCTGGGTGGAAGAGTGGATGGGTTTGATAGGGTGGATGGGGACTGGTGGGTGGAAGGGGAAGGTACATGCATCAGGGATGGTGTATGGAGTAGGGTGGCTGGTTGGGGAAGGGGGAATGGGAGGACAAGTGGAAGAGTGTTGATGGGGACTGATGGGATAATGAGGGAGGGTGTATGGGGTGGGGGTGGGCGTATTCATGGAGAAGAGTGTATGGGGATGGGTGGATTAGTGAGGAATGTGTATTGGGATGTGGGGGTGGGTGGTTGATGATGGTTGGGGCAGGGTGTATGTGTATTGAGGAGGGTGAATGGAGGGGGATAGGTGGGTGGGTGATTCATAGATTCTAGGACTGGAAGGGACCTCGAGAGGTCATCGAGTCCAGTCCCCTGCCCTCATGGCAAGACCAAATACTGTCTAGACCATCCCTGATAGACATTTATCTAACCTACTCTTAAATATCTCCAGAGATGGAGATTCCACAACCTCCCTAGGCAATTTATTCCAGTGTTTAACCACCCTGACAGTTAGGAACTTTTTCCTAATGTCCAACCTAAACCTCCCTTGCTGCAGTTTAAGCCCATTGCTTCTTGTTCTATCCTTAGAGGCTAAGGTGAACAAGTTTTCTCCCTCCTCCTTATGACACCCTTTTAGATACCTGAAAACTGCTATCATGTCCCCTCTCAGGGTTTGGCTACACTTGGGACTTCACAGTGCTGCCGCGGCAAGTGTAGTCACGCCGCCAGCACTGCAAGAGAGCTCTCGCAGCACTGTATGTACTCCACCTCTCCGAGGGGAGTAGCTTGCAGCACTGCCAGCAAGCGTGCAGTGCTGCAGGCACTGATTACACTGGCGCTTTACAGCGCTGTACTCGCTGCGCTTGGGGGGGGGGGTTTTCACACCCCTGAGCGCAGCAAGTTGCAGCACTGTACAGCGCCAGTGTAGCCAAAGCCTTCTCTTTTCCAAACTAAACAAACCCAATTCTTTCAGCCTTCCTTCATAGGTCATGTTCTCAAGACCTTTAATCATTCTTGTTGCTCTTCTCTGGACCCTCTCCAATTTCTCCACATCTTTCTTGAAATGCGGTGCCCAGAACTGGACACAATACTCCAGTTGAGGCCTAACCAGCGCAGAGTAGAGCGGAAGAATGACTTCTCATGTCTTGCTCAAAACACACCTGTTAATGTATGGCGAAG